CCAGTTTGGGAAATCATTGTTCATTAACTAAATAAATATATATATGATATATATATCTCATTAACCACACCGGACAGGAGAAAACATTAACTAGTTAAATATATTGCCTGATATTCTAGAGAAACAAGTGGGAAATTTGTAATTTAAGTAAATGCTACGCGATTTCTGCGTAGGGAGTAAGGAACTGGCGGGTTAAGTCCCCAGGCGGCCCGCTCATCAGGGCCAGTCCGCGGAGCTCGAGGCCTGCCTACCGGACGCAAGAACAAAGCGTCATTGCTAAACTTTTAAAAATAAATTTCTACTTTCAGTGTTTTGACTTTAGGGCTGGTGTGCAAGAGGCGTGTCAGGAACTTGAGAACCAACGTGGAAACTCAGGAAATGTTTTAGGAAAAACACTGAGACTTCTTCATCGTGTTACCATCTCTGTTTGCAGAGAAACAGGAGAGATTACCAAGTGCAGCGGTCCCGGTGGGGGGCTGGGGATCAGAGAGACTTTTGCAGCAAAATCTCTGATGTGATTGTCAACTTCGAAATCCTTGCAGGGCTTCAGGTGAGTCAACAAACTGAAATTTAAAAAGAAACACTCAGCTCTCGGTTCCACAAGATACGTGACGCCCGTGGCCATAAATGCAGGCTGGACCCCCCCTGTGTCCGGAGACGGCCACAGTTACAAACTACAGCTGGGTGCTGGGACTTGAGTGACGGACACGGCTCGTTTGCCAGAGAGGATTCTGGCTCAGTCCGATCCAGGTGAGTCCCAACGGACTGTCCGCCAGCAGAACCAGCAGGACTGCCCACGCCTTCCACTCCGTCTGCAATCCCCGCCCCAATTCCAAGAGCAGAGCTGGGTGGCAGGGCTGCCCACAGGGTCCTCGCAGCCACCCCCACGAGGCGGAGGATCAGGGCAATGCAGTGCTCTCTGGTTTCCCGAACCTTCTCTGCATCCTCCGGCTTCCAACTCAGCATCAGCGTTAAGTCAGCTCTTCTACCCCAAAGGGAAACTGTCAAAATGCCAACAAAGCCCGGCTGGCGGGCTCAGTGGGTGAGCGTCGACCTATGACCCAGTGTATTTTAAGAAGAAAAAAAATTAAAGTATTAAAAAAACAAACTGAGTTCCAGGTGGTGAGCCCGTGGCAGGCTCTGCTCTGAACCCCTGGGGGAGGGTGCCCCGCGCCCCGCACCCCTGCCGGGAGGGGCGGTACCTGAAGATGCTGACGAGCAGCTGCAGGGTGAGCTGCTGGATCTGGCGGTTGAGCCTCTGCTGCCAGGCCCACCTGCGGGCTCGCCCCTCGTTCACGTCGGTGCTGGCGCCCCGTTGGGCAAGGTCCAGGTCATGGTGCAGCTGGAGGCTCTGGACCCTGGAGGGCAGGGACGGGTCACCTGTGCTCCCACTGGGCGGGGAGAAGGCTCCGGAAAGCCAGGGCTCAGGGCACCCAATAACCGAGCGGGGGGACACGATACACATACACCCCACAAGTTAGTCCCCTCCCACAGCCAGCCCCTCAGTGCAGAACTCATGGGCCTGACTTCCTGCACCACATGTTGATCCAAGAGTCATTCCGTTCCCCGTGCTCTGCCCCTCAAGGCACACACTGCCCCCCGCAGGACGGCCAGGCCTCCAGCGAGGGCCTGACTGCACACCACCTCTGCCTGGCGCGCTCAGAGGCACCAAACCTCCCATGTCACCCCCTGGCCCGGAGGGGACGGCCATGGACTCAGCCTGAGTCCCCAAGGACAGGTAGATGGAGGGATGGACTACAGGTGGATGGAGGGCTGATGGACAGGTGGATGGAGGGATGGAGGGACAGGTGGATGGAGGGATGGATGGACAGGTGGACGGAGGGATGGGTGGCCAGGTGGATGAATGGATGGACAAGTACATGGATGGATGGACAGGTGGATGGAAGGGTGAAGGAGAGAAGGAACTGCAAAGGTCACGGGCACAGTGTCCTGGGCAAGAAGAGAGGTAGGATTCCTGGGAGCCATGACCATCCCCGGATCCCGCAAGGCCATACTGATATGTAGGGTAGATCAGAATAAAGACAAATGGCTTTTATTTTTAAAAATTCACAAATAATTTCCAAACTATAGACACATGAAGTATCTATAATAATAAAAGCATAATATGCAAATCGACCGAATGGCCGAGCAGCGGAATGACCATCTGGACACCCTTCCGGACAAAGCCGGGCTGGGAGGGCTACTCTTGCACGGATTTCATGCATCAGGCCTCTAGTCTGTCAATAATATCAGACTGAAAAGGTACTCAACAGGGCCAGTGAGAAGGCTGCCCACGTGCAGCTCCCACGGTTACCTCTGAATGAAGGTCTGGGCCGCCAGCAGGGGGATGTCGGGGACGTCGCTGCCCGAGCAGGTGACGCTCCCACTATCGATGTTGATCAGAACCAAACCGTCTGCTTCCTGTGGAAGAGGCGTCAAGGCCGAGGTGAGAATCCGCACGTGGCTGTGAGAACACAAGAATGCACGTGCACACCCGGAGGCATTCATTAATGTCCTCATCATTAAACTACCCGACTCAGCCCGGCCGGGTGGCTCAGTGGTTGAGTGTCGTCGACCTATGAACCAGGAGGTCACGGTTCGATTCCCCGTTAGGGCACATGCCCAGGTTGTGGGCTCAATACCCAGTAGGGGGCGTACAGGAGGCAGTCTATTAATATTTCTCTCTCCCTCTTTCTCTAAAGTCACCACAAACTCTTCA